ACACCGCCGTACAGATCGTAATACATACATTTGGGTACATGCACGCAAACCAGCATACACACATATGCCGGATCAAGAGCACGTCTAGAATATGGCACAGATGTAGATGGACAGATACAATCGTCGAATTGAGTAAATGGGTGGACTACCGGACTGTGCACATATACACAAGCGAGAAGAACAACTCCGAGTATCAACCTTGGCAAATAGAACACAAGGAACTGCAGGTCATCACACCGACCAACCAACGTCGCCTCGTGCTCGAGACACAGGAGGCGGTGCCTGGCACCACTATGTAGCCATGATAGCACGTTCGATTATCGATTTGCTGATGTAAACATACACTTGACTGATTAGTCGTTCGACGCGGGCGGATCAGCATGGTCGAGACACCAAAACAGATACCGTCCCGCCTACCCACCTCCTTAAAGTACATACAAACTCTTCATCGGCCGTACATTGAAATATCCAATGCCTTATGCACAGTACTAGCTTAAAAGCACGACCACGTGGTATAAATGAAGCCTTAGCAACGGTACCAATAACCAAAGCGAAAACCACACTAATTAGGACCTAATTGATAACAACAGACACAATTCTCGTCGGTAGACATTTGGTTACACACTTCGTTGCCCTTTTCGTTGCACACTTTGTTACACATTTCGATGTACACACCATTCAGAATATGCATTCTCCGCTCGCAAGTATTCGACAGTGTCCCTGTCCTCCGCATTCTGCAACCAGGCAAAATCATCATGCCGCACTCGGCCTAGCACTGGAGCACGTGTGCACTCACTGCGTCGGGGCGCTGCCATTGGAATAGTCCCAGGATTTTCTGTTCCACTCTTAGTCTTTCCTAGCAACCTTTTCCACCACTTAGGTTGGTGGAGGCTTCTCGTGCCCGAATATACACGTGCTTGTATACGCGCATGTTGGTTAGTTCGAGACAACTTCGCCTTTGGACTTTCACATGCTAGCTGCACTTGGTTCCTGGCACCCCCCCCCGAGGGTAGGTCCGAGAGCAATACTGGTTGTGCGTGTGTGTGGCGGCTATAGTGACTCAACTGTCGTATACAAACCGAACCCAGCGAGGAGGGTTGTATGCATGGGTGGTAAAGCTGGTGACTGAGCTTTTGTACATATGTACCATCCAGCTTATATACATTCGAAGCAGTGATACCAATTGTATGCTCCCCCAGCCGCTTACGTGTTGGGGCCTGCAATCGACTTTCGTGTGCGAAAGAGTACGTATGTTTGTATGTGTGATTGCACTTTTGCACATTTTTCTTTAGCTGACCACGTGCCAGTGTGATGCATTGAGAGTCCACACCCATAGGTCTAAACAATCGGAATACCATGTTGTATTCTAATATTTATCGATGCACAGACCTCTAAGTAGGTCTAAATATTGAAATCTATGCGTTGAATAATAAACGCTCGTCGGATACATATAATATCATTTACCGTCAGCAAATCGGAACGTTGAGCCGCATCTAGAAATGAAAAGCAAAGAGTGATTCTGCTTCTCGGCAGTCCCGTCCTTAATGGGAGTTTTCGGGCGTCGTATATGTTGACGCCAGTGGCAGTAACAGTTGAATTATCGGTTGCTAGCTGAGTTGGACAGCATTAGAATACGAGAAGTTGATATGTGACATTAATATATTATTCTCATCAGGTAAATCATTAGTGTATACTCGTGAAAGCGCTACACTAGCTTAGACAGTTTCTCTCCGTTCAAGAGTGCTTATGCTATTTGCTTCCAGACCCAGAGTTCAATATATATACCACTAGATGTTATTGCAATTGGATTGCGTGTGTATATACTTTCCACTTAATAGAATGCGTGTATACTGTAGACGTGCTCATGGCCAGGTGCTACAACATCCGGTAGTTCAAGTAGCTTACATGTGAACGGTCGCGTTAGAAGGCTATGGTTATATAAGAGAGGTCATGCCAAACTCTCGCTTTGTTTATCGCTTGGATCCGATCCCCTGGATGGAATAGCCCGCCAAAATAAAAGCACGTGCACTTGATAAGGATCACAATTTAATTAATCATAATCTCTCGAATGCATATATTGTGATTAATTTTTACGTATTGCCGGTATCCCAAAGCAAGTAATTGACTGTATATAGCACAGTACATCTGGGGCGTAAGTGAGTCAGTGTTAGCACAAGCATATAGATATGTCGTTCCAGCTCTTTGCCAACCCAGCAGCTATAGCCAAAGCCCAGCCAACAGTCATTTCTACTATGCAAGATGCGGGAGACAATGGGGGGACAAACACAATCACAAGAGAAACGCAGAGTGAATCGGAAGCTGAATCCGATACAGACGCATACGATATGATTAAGCCTGGTAACCGAACCGCAAGCAAGCGTGAGACAAAACATACATCTGAAGGGGTTGCCGTGACGGTCAAGTCACGCAGTACACAGGAACGCGACAGTGACGATGATGAGGGTGATACTGAGGGAGGCGAGGACGGAATGAGGTCAGCTAGCACGTTCTCTGAACTTGGGTTGGGAGAGTGGATTCAGGCTCAGACACAAGAGATGGGCATGCTTAGGCCAACCTATATTCAGACACAGGTGTGTCTATTTTATTTTCACATCGAAAGTGGGTCGTTCGTCATTGCATCGTATATATATATGTTTTAAATGTGAAATATAGACATTCCCAGCTGTTAGTATATATATATATATACATACATACATACATACATACATACTAATACAATACAATACAT